TGTGGTATTGTGTAAGTAAGTGCAGCCAAGAAAGTTTTGTCACAAAGGCTATAATCGCCTAAGGAGGTTGGGACTTAAGCGGTACCATTTGTGTCCCCCCAATCTTTCCTGGAAACTTTCTTAGTGCATTTTGTAGACACAATTGTTCACTCATTATTTACGTGTGAGATCACTGGAGCATTGTTGAGCAAAAATGAGTTTCAGATTTGATATTGAGAAATTTGATGGGAGAATTAATTTTGGGTTGTGGCAAGTACAAGTCAAGGATATACTAATCCAGTCTGGATTGTATAAGGCCTTAAAGGGAAAGCCAGCTTCTTTGTCCGAAGGAAAGGAACCAGATAAACCTAGTGACAGCAGTGGAGACAAGGGAAAATCCAAGATGAGTGAAGAAGAATGGGAGGAGTTAGACATGAGAGCAGCAAGTCAAATTCGTCTATGTCTAGCAAAAAATGTTCTTGCTAATGTTGCTAGATGGTCATCAACAAAGGAGCTTTGGGAAAAGCTTGAGGAAATGTACCAAGCTAAAAGTCTTTCAAATAGGTTATATTTGAAGGAGAAATTTCACAAATTGCAAATGGAAGAAGGTACAAAATTTCTGACCACCTTAGTGCACTCAATGGGATTGTTTCTGAACTGGAATCTATTGGAGTGGAGATTGATGATGAAGATAAAGCATTGAGACTTATTTGGTCTCTTCCATCTTCCTATGAGCACATGCAAACCGTTTTAATGTACGGGAAAGAGAATGTGAATTTTTCAGAAGTGACAAGTAAGCTGATTTCGGAAGAAAGAAGGCTGAAAAATGGAGAGAACAAATCTTCTGAAAGTGGAGCATTGTCGGTTTGTGGAAATGGGAAGAAGTATAAAGGCTCCAAAAAGAAAATTACCTGCTGGGGATGTGGGCAACCTGGACATCTAAAGAAGGATTGCAAAAACGGTGGAGCTAATTCGGCTAATGGCTCCAAAAGTGATGCTACTAATGTAGTCGTCTTTGAAAATGAAGACGATGAATTTGTTTTTTAAAGTAATATATATCCTCATGGCATGATAGCTACCAATTGAGTTGCCATGGAAAAGGATGTATGAAAAGGTAGCATGTCCACATTTACACATGGGCATTGGTTGACAGTTGATGCAAGGTGTGTGGTGGAATTGATGTCGATGGCTAATGAACTTCCTAGAAAGTCAATATTGGAAGTTGCACCATAACTTATTAGCAGTTTTTCGACATGAACTGGTCAAGGTAAAAATTCTTGGAGTTAGTGAATTCCAAGTGTGTATACTCTTATGGTGGAGTATGACAATTCTTGTTTTTAGAATTGTGACTATCATAGCTGATGGTGTTATTGAGGTAGCTGTTGTTTTTATGGTGAAGAATTGTATGGAATTTTTGCCAAGGTGGAGATTTGTTAGTTTTTGGCAAAAATTGGCCAAATCCCACATTGGAAATGAACAAAGGATAAAAAAATTCTTAGCCTATAAATAGAACATTTCCCTTTGGTTAAATGTATGTCAATCACCAAAATACAAGTGGTGTATTAGAAAGTTATTAGCTATACTAGTAGAGAATTTAAAGGGAAATTCTCTTGGGTGTACTTTAGCTTTTGGGCATGTGTGAGAGTTAAATATTTTGTAGTGTGGTTGTAATAATTTTCCACATAGTAAATATTTTTTCTCTTGGTTGTCTTTTGACAACGCTTGTGGTTTTTCTCCATTTGGGAGTTTTCCACGTTAAATTATTGTGTTTTTCTCTCTTTTATTTTTCAAGTATTTTTTGTTAATGTTGTGATCTAAAGGGATTGTTGGATTACAAGGGGTCTATTTTCTCAACAGAGGGCAATTTTGCCTGACGTAGTAAAAAAAATTCCCATGTAATGCACACTCCACTTTGTTTTTTTATAAATAGGATGCTTTATACCGTGTTTATTGATGGAAATTAATAATAACTACAAAACAAAGTTGCTAGTACTAAATGAAAGTATAAATAAATAAAAACAAATTGTAATAATAAAATCGTGTCGTGGTGATCCATTTGTTTTAAAAGTTACTTCGGTCAGATGAGTGTAATTCGCAACAATGGTCAAATGTTCTCCGAAGTTAACATGATTCTCCAAAAACTCATACACCCAAGAGTTTAGAGCGGACATCACCACTGAGAATTTCGAAATGCGGAAGAAATCTTTGTAGAAAGAGAGAAAAGCTTTGAGAGCAGAGAAGAAATGTTTGCTTGATGATTTGAAAATCCTACAAAGGTTTTGTATTTATATGGGCATTCTCCAGACAAGAAACAGAGATAAAGGCATGAGTTACGGAATTGATCTATCGACTGCAATATTACAGCAATAAAACTGTGCATGAATGATTGTAATAGCTGGAAACTAAAGCACGGATGGCTTAGGCTCTTTTCGGTTTCAGCTCCATGGTGTTGCTGCTTGTTGTGGTCTTTTGAGGCATTCTAGAAGTTTCCAGCTTGTCCATTTAGTTGTGAGCTGCAGTTTTTTAAAGATTTTTTAGAGTGCCATTGTTAGTTGGTGAATTGTTCTTGGTATGAGTGCTGTGTTGCTGCAGACCCTTTAGCGCTTTTATTTTTCAATCAATTTAGTTGGTGAGGTGTAAGTGATTGGATTGTCTCATCTGAGGCTCTTGTATGGAGCGTATGGCAAGCTCAGAATATCAGGGTATTTTAATGTCAAGAGGGTCACTCTTAAAGTTTTGATTTTTGCCTCGATATTGTGTGCATTGGTTTGGCTGATTGCTTTGAAGGATGATCTTCTAGTGCTACATTACTTGTTTCTGGTTTGACCAAGGTTGGGAGAGGTGGTTGTGGTGGTGTTTCGAGGTAGGTTTCCGAGCCAAAGCATGTCTATCGAGGGATGAATTATTTAAAGCTGGTTGTGTATCATAGCAGAAAACTAGTTGATGCGAACGCTACCCGTCTTTCTTTCTCTGACTTGATTAAAGTTTGATGACCTGCAAAGGTTGAATCAGTCTGTTTAATCATCTTTGTCCTTTGTGATTTGTTTTGTTCAATTTACATTGGGAGGAAGCTTTCCGTTTGTAGAGCAAGTGGATTCTAGTTTGGGCAATAGAGGGTCTGCTTCGTTGTCAGAATCTGTAGTGTTTTCTTTGGCTGTTGTATTGTCGGTCGTACTCTGGTTCATTTAGAGAGCGCCCATGTGGTTAAAGTTGGAGCCTTGAATCTGGATGCATCGGGCTGTAAAGGGCTATTTAAATTGCGGGTTTTTTCGACTATTATTTTAGCGCTTAAATTATCCATAGAACAAGAATGGTTAGTCTGGGAAGGTGTGGGAGAGATATAAGATTCAAAAGCTATCTAGGATTTAGAGAGGAGTTGGAATCTTTTGTTCTGCCGCTGTCACTCGAGTCGTGTTGATAGGGACGAGTCTAAAAAATTGTTTGTTTGGTCGAGGTATTGAAGGAGTATCAGAATTTGTTCATATGTTACGATTGTAACCTTTATTCCGTTGAGTTACTTGTATTTGGTGTTCTTCCAGACATACAACTCTTCAATTGTTATAAATAAGTAAATTATTGTCGAGCAAAAAAATTGAAAATTAAAAGGTTGTCAGCTACGAACTTAGACGAAAAATAACATAGATTCATAGTTAAAATACATAGGAGAAACCAGTTGTAATAGTTGTTAAATACAACAACTAAATTCTGGAAATTCAAACCATGCCAATTCAGAGAAAATATTCGGTTTCACACTTTGAAAAACATTCGTTTTCACACTTGAGATATTGTGTCTATAAATATAGTATTAAGATTTTTGTTTCAGTTTTCTCGAATAAATTTTCCTTAAGGAAAATCTTATGAATTTTCTTCAAAAAGAAAGCTCACGCAATACATGTCAAAAACACATAACAACCATCAACCACTCAAATGAGTGAAGGCAATGCACATGCAAGAAAGTTATCTAGCCACATTCGATATATAAGAGAAAATGTATCCCTTTAAATACCTTCCCAAATGTATATTCCTATCCAATGTGGGATTAAAGTCTTTTGGTTTCTATAGCATTACTAACACTTATTAGAAGACACGAGGATTATTGACATTGAATGTTCAGACCCCTACATACGTGATGCTCGAAACTAGTACCTCAAGAGATAAGTATAACAATAATCTCTTAACCAGTAAGGTAGCTTGATTCATGTAATTATATATTATATATTGATAAAATTATACATTAAACAAAATCTTAATATTGTATATATTTTATTTTTATCAATTGACGTCACAATTAAAACCCAAGTTTTGAAAGGAAGCATCGGTGAAATGGAAGTAACTAAGAATAGCAGTGAAAGATGGGGAATCCTTTTGGTTTGTTTTCAAGTAAATTAATTCGTCATTAGTCCAAGGCACGTTATAAGCAATTACAGCCTCCAATACGAGTTGGCCTTACATGATATGAAATGCTAGCCACTCTTGTTGAGCTTTGAAATTCGATGTGAAATCTCCATAAAGATAGGATCCCACATTTTCAAACTGATTTTTCGTTTTTTTCGTTTCAATTCTAAGCCAACGACATTCGTTCCTATTATAAGGCGAAATCTTCCATTTTGAGCTTACTAGTGTTTCCATGGGTCTGGGATCTGGGTTTTCTCCCTCGGAACCTCCTAAAGCTTCTTAGGTCATTTTTTTTTCTTACGTTGAATTGTATATTTACGCCATTTGCCCAAACGAGGCCGAGCTGGAGATACGGTTTTAGAGAGGGGGCACTTGTTTGGATTTGATCATTGAAGTTTGTGGAGAAAAGTAAGATAGGGTTCAAACCCTAAACAAGAAATGAAGTGTTTTTCATGTTTCACTTCCCCCCAGACTTCTAAATCAAATCCTAACTCCCCAACAAAAGTTTCTTTTCTCCGGCAACCGCCTCCCGGTAATGTCACATTTTGTATAAGAACGGATGTATAATTTTATTTTAGAGAGGTGAACTTATTATTGTATGCGTTTTTGGGTTACATAATGCATGATATGCTTTTGTTTCGATATCAACAGATGATGATGTTCCTCAACCAAAGGCCCCAGAACCTGAAATTCCTGAGATTTCTGATGCCTGTAAAGACGACAACAACAACAACATTGAGGCACAAATTTTCAGCTTCCGTGAATTAGCCATGGCAACCAAGAACTTCAGACGAGAATGTTTGTTAGGGGAAGGTGGCTTTGGGCGGGTTTACAAGGGAAAACTTGAAAAAACCGGCCAGGTATAAACATAACATTTTCCTTCATTGCTTAATCTCAAAGTTTTCATCTTTCATTTTCAATACCTGTAATTCTATAATAGTGACTTTAATCCATAATTTTTTTTGAGGTATTTTGGTCCCAGTATTCCATTTTAGGCAAAAAAATCCATTCGTGAAAGTTAACTAATAAATGATTATTGTATGAGAATAAATGTATTTTTGTCCTAAAATAAAAAGTTAAGGGCTAAAATATTTAAGAAAAAGAATAGATGTCAAAATAACTATTTAATTAAATGTTGTAGATATTTTTTGACATTATACCGTTGGATACTTTTAATGTTAACACTTGCATAGATAGATTGTACATGAGAATCATTTTTATAATCACCATGGGTATACCTCCATTTTCAGGTTGTAGCAGTAAAGCAACTTGATCGAAATGGAATACAAGGAAATAGAGAGTTTCTTATTGAGGTGTTAATGCTAAGCTTCTTGCACCATCCAAACCTTGTCAATCTTATCGGCTATTGTGCCGATGGAGATCAAAGGCTTCTGGTTTATGAATACATGCCACTCGGATCTTTAGAGGACCATTTACTCGGTAATTTTAGTTTTCGTTTGATTTGATTTCTAATCGGATTCAACCCAAGTTACACCGACGTTTAAAATTTCAGATATTAGACCGCATCGGAAGCCATTAGATTGGTATACAAGAATGAAGATAGCATTAGGTGCTTCAAAAGGTTTAGAATATTTGCATGACAAGCCTAAAGTGCCTGTCATCTATAGAGATTTGAAATCGTCCAATATCTTGCTGGATGAAGAGTTCAATGCTAGACTCTCTGATTTCGGGTTAGCCAAGCTAGGACCCGTGGGAGATAAGACGCATGTATCTTCCAGGATCATGGGAACGTACGGTTATTGTGCCCCGGAATATCAGAGAACCGGACGTTTGACGGTGAAATCCGATGTTTATAGTTTCGGAGTTGTTTTGCTCGAGTTGATCACCGGAAGGAGAGTTATCGACACCACCAGACCAGGCAAAGAGCAAAATCTAGTTGCATGGGTACGCCATTTTCCCCTCCTTTCTCCCCCTTTCTACTGTTTCTTTCTTTACATGCTAAGAATACTTTTTCGATGCCCAAAAAAATCATAGGATAAATTATACAAATGATTCCTGATTATAAGGCGTTTGTTGAATCTTCTTAATGTTAAAAGTTATAAAATGATTTTTTGATTATAGGATATTATTTTGTTGAGTCATCCGACTATTAAAAGTTACAAATTAAATGGTCATTCGATTATTTATATGTTCTAAACTCATAATTTTTATTTAAAAATTGACGGTTGTCTGAGTTAGACGTTAATATGTTAATTGGAATATGATAAAATCATGTTTCTATGACATCTCTAGCACCGTTGTTGCTTTCAAGCATTGGTTTGATAACATAATGTTTCAAACATTGGCTCGACTGTATAATGTGAATGGTTAGTAGATCCACAAAATACAACTCAAACAATTTTAAGATCAAATTTTATCATATCTTGACGAATAGGTTAACGTTCACTTCAAACTGCCGTCAATTTCTTAACATAAAATGATAAGTTTGGAACATATAAATTATCGATTGATCATTTTATAACTTTTAATAGTCGGAGACTTAGAAACACCTTATAATAAGAGGATTCAACAAAATAATATCTATAATTGGAGATCATTTGTGTAATTTATTGAAAATTATATAATTCATCTTTTAATTTATTTATTTATTTATAATGTCATGGATAATATAATGCCCTAAAAAGTAGTATCATTTATGACTGCTATTTATACCAGGCTGTACCACTGTTCAAGGAACGTAGGTTCCCGCTACTGGCTGATCCACTTCTGAAAGGAGATTACCCTTGCAAAGGGTTGCATCAAGCAATTGCAGTTGCGGCCATGTGCTTGCAAGAGGAAGCAAACGTACGTCCACAAATGAGCGATGTGGTCACTGCTCTAAGTTTCCTCGGAACTGGTCCGTCGAGCACCGAGGCCTCCTCATCGAACCCTTCCTTAGAACCTGAAAGTTATAATGAAGAGCGCTAACCGAATGCCAATGGGATTCGGTTAATTACAGATTCATAGCACCATCATGCCTTCTCCTTGCCACCATCTTGACGTTAGGTTTTGGGGTCTAATTAATTTAAAAAAAAAAAAAAATTAGAGATTTAATTAAATTTTTAAATATTTTAAGTAGTGGAGTGAAAGAAGAGGGAGAAAATCAATAGCTTTGCATGTTCGTTGTTTGTGTTACCTTTTCATCCCTTAATTGTATTTTAAAATATCATAATGTACATAAATTTGCAATACAAACAATATTTGGTAACCACCTATTAAGCATGTGTACAAAGGACCTTTGAAATCAGCTTGTAATAAAAGATACTAGTAATACACAAAATGTTATTATTTTTTATCTGTTATGAAATTGAATTTTGGAATGGGTTGTTTGGGCTTGAGATTTAGGATATGATGAGTTAAGGGGGTAAAATGTCTCAAGAGAGCTTTAGGTGCAACTAGGTAAAACATTCTCTAATTTAAAAGCTTGCCTCAACGACCGAATCTTAATTTGATTGAAATTATTAAGAGAACATGAAGTTGATAATGTTTAACTCTACACTATCATTTGATTCAAGGATGAAAATGTTAAGAATGGATTTCAGTTGTATATTTCATTCATCTCAATCACAATGTACATGTCTAATTACAAATATATACACTGCTATTTGTCAACATAACAAACAGATAACAGACTAACAGAATATATAACTGTATAATCGACAACTATTAATCCTTGACACGCCCCCTCAAGTTAGTAGTTGAGAAGATGTTCCTAACACCCAAGTTGGAAATTGAACTTTCATGCTGCTGTGTTCCAAGTGCTTTTGTCATCACATTTGCTAATTGGTTTGTTGAAGAAACATACTCAGCTTTTATAACACCCTCTTGGATTTTCTCCCTTATGAAGTGACAATTTATCTTTATGTGCTTTGTCCTCTCATGATAGACTGGATTTGCTGCAATTTGGAGAGCTTCTTTATTATCACAATACAATTTAATAGGCTGCAAATCTGTTACTCCTAGTTCTATTAACATTCCCCTGAACCAAACCACTTCAGCTGTGGTCATTGCCATGCTCCTATACTCTCTGCTTCTGATGAAGATTTCGAAATAGTGCTCTACTTTTTTATTTCCAAGAAGCTAAGGAATCACCAAATTTTATACAAAAACCAATAATCGATTTCATAGTCATTAAGTAAGCTGCCCAATCAGCATCACAAAAGGCTGACAATTGACAAGAACCATTTGCCTTCAACAGTATCCCTTGTCCAGGATCCTTCTTTATGTACCTTAAGGCTATAAATTGCTTCCAAGTGCGACTCCTTTGGGTGTTGCTTAAACTGACTCAAATTATAAGGCAATAAACTGACTCAAATTATAAGGTAATGTTCATTTATCAAGAAATTAATAGTGTATTTTTCGCATTTTGCTCAGGGGGTGATCATTGATAATTTCTAGAGTAAATCGATATCCTTTTTAAAATCCTGCATCATAATTTTTAATCTTCAAGGCACTTTACGAAACTTTCGCATAAATGTCCAAGAGTGGTCATGGTCTTGGTAAATCGATAACCTTTTCGAAATGTACATACATAATGTATTTTAAATTAAATAAAACCTCTAACTCAAAATTTTCAATTTTTTAATATAGGATAGTTTAACTAGGTACCAATATTTTGGGATTTGTGGGAATGTTAATCATTCCTCACGCGTAACCGACTCTTGAACTTGATTTCTAGTTTTCGCAAATTAAATTTGATGTTTTGATAAAATAAAATGTTTTTATTAAAACTACATGATTTTAGGTGATCCAATCATACCTTAAAAATAATTAATGACAACTCCAAACTTTTCATTCTAAAATCATTTCAAAACCCCTCATTGTCGTAACTAATCGACATTCCGCCCGAATGGCCGGTTGCGACATTTAATATTTTCTTGACTTTTTGGTTCGATGCACAAAGGGAGGAACTTATTTGGAGATTTAAAATACCAACTAAACGGTTTAAAAATAATTATTAATACCATGCTCGTATAGCTCATGGGAGTACTACGGTGGGCAATTCATAATTGCTGGAGGTCTTCTACGGAAATTGCTCTCAACCTAACATTAGGAACAACCTATTATCTTACCTCCCCTACACCATTACATATGAGAAAAATGATCAGTTAATTTTATGCTCGTATAGCTCACAGTTTCAAACCGTGCCAATCACTCCTTTATGCCTTTTTTTTCTTTGATATATAAATGGGTAAATTACACCCAAAGACACTAATATTTAGTGATTTCAACTTTTATACTATAAACTTACCCCAAATTCAATCTAGTCCTTAATTTTCCATAGTTCCTTTTTTGCTTTGAATTCTGAACTTTACTATTTAACAATTAAATCACCAAGTTACTTGAATAAATTCTAGATCAAGATTGGGATGTGACATGTAATGACTATTTTATACTTTTTTAAAATTTAATGACCTTAACATAGTTTAGTAATAATGCATTTTTATCCATAAAAATGGGTGACTGACATGGCATAAGCTTATTGGCTGCTATCCCACTCACTAATACATCCAAGCGCACTAAACCACGCTACTAAACAGAGAACAATCTTCGTACTAACAAACCCTAGCAAATTTATTGTCATTGGTAAATAAACATCTTTCTTCTTCACTTAGCAGCTCATTCAGAGTGAGCGAGAGAGAGAATCAGAGAGGAAGCACCTTTAAGGTAAAGACAATGGTGTCCGGATCAGGACTATGCGCGAAGAAAGTGGTGGTCGATGCCCGCCACCACATGCTCGGCCGTTTGGCTTCCATCGTGGCCAAGGAGCTGCTCAACGGCCAGAAGGTCGTCGTCGTCAGATGCGAGGAAATCTGTATGTCCGGTGGACTCGTCCGCCAGAAGATGAAGTACATGAGATTCCTCCGTAAACGCATGAACACCAAGCCTTCTCATGGCCCCATCCACTTCCGTGCCCCCGCCAAGATATTCTGGCGCACCGTTCGCGGGTCAGTCTTTTTAACCTTTTCTTTATATTTTTTGGACTGATTTTATAATGGGAGCTGCTAAATTGAAATGGTTTTGTCGAAATTCATGTTTTGTTCAATTATGCTTAGAAATGAAGCTAAACCCAAATAGTGAAATATTTGCAGAATGATACCTCATAAGACCAAGCGCGGTGCAGCTGCCCTTGCTCGTTTGAAGGCTTATGAGGGTGTTCCTGCCCCGTATGATAAGATTAAGAGGATGGTCATCCCTGATGCACTTAAGTAAGTTTGTAGATTATACTTTTTTTTTTTGCTTCAATTGTAATCCTGTGATTTTGATCTAATGTTTTCAACTATCATCTTTTATAAATGCAATAGGGTGTTGAGGCTTCAGAAAGGGCACAACTACTGCTTGTTGGGCCGCTTGTCATCAGAGGTTGGATGGAATCATTACGATACCATAAGGGTGAGTTTATCTTGTCATTCAGTGCTTTGCCATTGCTTGTCCTTTTATCAATTTTTTGAAACTTTGGGGATTTAACATATGGCTTAAGGTTTTATCGGTTAACTTTGTATTTCCTTATCTGCATCTGTTATTTGCTTGTTTAGTTTGAGGCATACATTCATCAATTTCTTTTTCCATCACGAATTCTCTTTTTTCTTAAATGCTTTTAGAGACTACAATTATATAATATGGCTGCAGCGATGAATCGGTACTAAACAAGGATAGTATCTTTTCAACTAGAAGCTGTTTGAATTGAATTTAGTTGTCTCTAAGTATTGGGGGAAAGATATCTGGAATCATACCCTGTATGCATATTATTATGCATTACACTTTTGTCATTTTAGGGATATGATTGGGTTTTGATTTAATCATCCTTTTGAATTTATCTTCATAATCGTAAGAAATGCAAGTCTTGAGAGTGCCTGATATCAATGCTCAAACAACAATGGCAATCTTATGCATATTGAATTGTCAATATAGGCCCTATGTGAAGTGCCCTTAGTATTACACTAGGGTTATTTCTTGAAATTCTACATGTTATGGATGACAGTCGTGTTTAAATGTAATGTTTCCCTTTCTTTATCCGGATTGGAACTAAAGAGAAATGGTTTGGAGTTGGGGCAACATGCACCCATCTTGTTTGTACTTTGGTACCATCAAAGATTGTTGAAGTTTTGTTTCTGATTATAATATTTTGACTTTAGGAGCTAGAGAAGAAGAGGAAGGAGAGGGCTCAGGTTGCATATGAGAGGAAGAAGCAGCTGAATAAGCTTAGGGTAAAGGCTGACAAGGCTGCTGAGGAGAAACTTGGTTCTCAATTAGACATCCTTGCCCCTGTTAAGTACTGAATTTCTCGACATTTGCTAGTTTCTTACAATTTTGTCAAGCTTCTCTCTATGGATTCAGTTTACTGTTTTAATTTGTACTAAATGGGCTGAAAATTAAATTTGATGAATCTTGAGTTACCCTGTTTTTCTTTTAAAGGCTGCAGGACTGTTTGAATATATTTCCCACGTGTTCTTAGTGTGAATGCTGTGTATGTCATTTCTTCGTTAGAGAATAGAGAATAAATTTTGCATGAGAGCTCCTGTTTTGGTAGGAAGAATTTTGAACAAAAAATAAAATAAAGTGTTTTTTAAGGAAAAAACAAACAATTCTTTACTTTATTGTATTTTCTTCTCTTTTCCTTACAAATTAGAAACATTTGTTTTAAAAAATGATTATGAAAAGCATTTCTTTTCATTTTAACATTTTCGATTAGAGATACGTGAGGAACCCTAAGGGGGTGTTTGGTTGGGGGAATGTGTGATTCCCATGGGAATGGAATCCACATTCCTTCGTTTGGTTAGCTGAGAATCTCATTCTCGGTAATGTAAGATTACTAATAGTGAATTTTTTGGGGTATATTACCGGGAATGTCATAATTCTCTTTCCTTAGGTATTGTTGGATTATCGGCGTTTTGGACTAAAATGTCCTTAATTTTTTTTTAAAAAAATATCATTCTTCTGTCATTGAATAATAAAAATTTTACGAATATTAAATTATAAATTTATCCTTAAACTATTTTAGATTTACAAAAAAAATTATATAATTAAAATTTGAGAAAATAACCGCAGTGATCGAAAATGCCTTATAATATACGATTTTAATCAATTTTTTTTGAATTTGCTAAAATGACCAACAAAATCGCAACGCGAACTCTAATTTTTCAACTCAGTTTCCAAATTCGCAACGCGAATATCCAGATTCGCAACGCAATTGTAAGATTCGCAACGTGATTTTAAAAAATGTGTTACGATAGTTAAAATGTGTTACGATAGTTAAAATGTGTTGCGATAGTTAAAATATGTTGCGATAGTTAAAATGTGTTGCGATAGTTAAAATGTGTTGCGAGAGTTTGAAAAACGTGTTGTTGCGATAGTGAAAAAGTGTTGCGATAGCGAAAAATCTAAAATAAGTTTACATTTTAACTATTCCAAATTCACGTGGAGTTTGAAACAATAAAGAATGTGTTGCGATAGTATAAAAAATTCCCAAGCTATTTGTAAGAACTTAGTTTGAAACAATAAAGAATGTGTTGCTATAGTGTAAAAGATTCCCAAGTGTTGGCAATGCTCAATCCCATATAGTATTGGAAACACTATTGGGAATGGGTATTTAAGGCTTGGATTTCCCACTTTCTTGTTGAGTGGAAGAGAATAAGGGGACTCTCGCGCACGGCCGCCGCCGCCGCCGCCGTCTCGTCTCGTGGTCGTGGTCGTGGTCGTGGTCGTGGTAATACGTGTCTTCGACACGTCCGCGCGGATACTATCTTTTTAGAGAAAATTCTTAAGAAACAAATGCAATAACTTCGACTATCGCAACGAATTTGGAAAATCGCAACGCGAACTTCGACTATCGCAACGTGAACTTGGACTATCGCAACGAATTTGGACTAACGTAAATTTGGAAAATCGCAACGCAAAATCGTGTTGCGAATTTGGAAACTGAGTTGAAAAATTAGAGTTCGCGTTGCGATTTTGTTGGTCATTTTGGCAAATCCAAAAAAAGTTGGTTAAAATCATATATTATAAGGCATTTTCGGTCACTGAGGTTATTTTCTCCTAAAATTTTATATAAAGTTCAATGGTTAAAATAAAATTTTATCATTTCATTAAACCTTTTTATATTTTCAATTTTGTAAAAAAACATATATATAAATTTTATGAATTTAATTTTTTTTAGAAAATATATAAATATTTTCTAAATTGTTAAAAAAAATATATATAATAAGAATAATTTAGTTAAATATACATTTCAATAATCTTTTATTGCTTTAACCAAACACGGTAATCTTACATTCCTGTTAAACCAACCAAACACAAAACTCAACATCCCAGTAATTATATTCCCTAGTAATCTTACATTCTCACTGGTAATCTTACATTTCGTGAACCAAACGCACCCTAAACGTTATCCGATAACTATTTGGGAAATTCCGTGAAGGCTCTGATCCTCTCTTTCCCTTTTTATCATTCTTTAAATTTTAAAATGTTTCAAGCAAAATCTGCAAGTTGTTTAAATTAGAAAGAAAATATAAAACTAACTGAAATCATTTTTGATATTGAATGTAAGGAGGGGTGAACGTTCGATTGAGTTAAGTCAAAAAATTTTGAATTATTCGAGTTACTATTCGAGTTGTATTTTACAATTCGATTTTAACTTGGAATTTTTCAAGATAAATTTATAAAATTACAACTCGAAATCAATTTGAGTACAACTCGAAATCAATTTGAGTCGAGTCGAAAAAATCAATCTTTCGAGTTGAGTTTTGCTCAACCTTAAATGTAGGGTGATAAATTTTGTTTAAAATAATTTATAGGAGTATTAAACATAAAAATGTTAGTAGGAAGTTTGATTTGTCTGGAAGAAAAAGACACCCTAGATTCAATGTAACATGGCAAGTGAATTAACATTAGCTAAATGTTAAACGTTAATATAACTTTTGGTACCTATATTTGGTATTAGCATGCAATTTGATACTCGATTTCTTTTTGTAATTAATTATCTAAGTTTTTTTAAGAATTGGATACCTAACATTTTTGTAATTTACACATATTTAATCATAATTATTTTTAATTTTTAATTTTTAATAATGTTCAGTTGAAGAACTAATATGTATTGCATAATCAAAAGTTATGTTGAAATTTTAAGTATACAAATTTAATTTTAAAAATATTAAATATCTAATTATACTAAAAAATTAAAGTTAAGTACCAAATTTTTCCATTAAAAAAAGTTAGGTAGTACCAAAAGTTATTATATCAACCATAAATTATGTAGCTTAAAATAAAACGTAAAGACAAGGGGGAAATTATAACGTCGACATCAGGGTTCGAACCTGAGCAGGCGAAGCCCAACAGATTTGTCTCCTTAACCACTCGGACATATTGACTGCCTCAATGTTGGGAAGTAAACTTTTATGTTAATATAGTAATACAATTTTATTTGACTACCAAAATAAACATGGATTTTATGTTGTCTTTACATTTATGTTGAGACTCCTTTTTATTAAAATTAATTGATTGTTATCCTAAAATCAATGTAGTCTTTAACTTAGTTTATGTTCGTATAATTTGTAAAATTAAACTTGAAAATTTATCAGTTACGAATCTATTGAGAAATTTTAATAATTAATTTTTTTAAAAATATTAAATTCAAATAACTACGTTTATAGAAATTATATGCAAAGTAACTAATAATAAAATAAAAGTTATGAATATATATTATTGTCTAAGTAGTTAAGGAGACCGATATGAAGCTTTTTGGGCTATGCCCGAGCAGGTTCGAACCCTGCCGACGACGTCTTTTGTTTTATGCAAAGCAAAAGTCCTCAGAAGGTTTTGGTGGCACTGTCAAATTATCTTTGCAGCAGCCATCCAAACTGGACACGTCAAATGTCAAAGCTACATAATCCTCTAAGAAAAAGACACTTAAATCCCCAGTTAGAATTCTCTTATGTATTTTTTGCGACATAGTAAAAAAAAATCTTTCTTTGCTCGTGCTTATACCTGTTAAGAATTTTCACGTAAATTTTATACTCATCATTATTGTAGTATATTATGACAAATTATTTTTTTGTCTTTCAAATCATCTTTGAACTGCTTGAAGGGGTTTCCTATTAATTAAGCTGAACCGGCAACTCTTCCCATTAGCATCATCAATCCTTCACACAATCACCCACCACATGCCCATTATACCACATTTATCACAAAATCAAGGAAGCTAATCGAAACAACCTGTGGAATTCCATTTTCATTTCAAACTTGAGACAACAACTAGTTGATTTAATAGATGAAACACTGTATTTTTTAAGTAAGGTTAGAAGTTTAAATTTTAATGATTACGAATGGAGTAAATTGAGTTGAAAGAATTGTTTCGTAATTGATATTTACAACATTTGATATGGATTAATCAATCAAATTTTGATACCAATAGTTAATTACAAGAATAAAAATCAGTCTCCGAGATGATTTCTTATACTCTAGTTCTATCCTCGATCACACAAATAGGGGTGAGCGTTCGATAGAGTCGAGTCAAAAAAAATTCGAGTTATTCAAATAGACGAGTCCTATTTTATAACTCAAACTTGACTTGAATTTTTTTTATTCGAGTTGAGTTAAAAACTTTTGAGTTATTCGAGTAGACAAGTCTTATTTTATAACTCAAATTTGATTTGATTTTTTTTACTCGAGTCAAGTTTTCAAGTTTCTATTGAATTTAGTTGTAAATATTAATATTACAAGGGGCAGGGCTAGAAAATTTATTTTGGGGTATCAAATTTAAAAATTTTACAAATAATTTCTTTTTGAGTGGATGAAAATAAATAATAGGTATCAATATATGTTTAAGAGCATCAATATTCTTTTAAAAATATATTGATTTTATTTATTTTAAAATATTTTTATATTAAATTTATATATAAAATAAATAATAGGTGTCAATTAATGTTTAAGAGTATCAAGTTGAGTTAAAAATATATTGATTTTATTTATTTTAAAATATTTTTATATTAAATAAATAATAGGTATCAATTTATGTTTAAGAATATCAATATCCGTTTTAGTACCTAAACTTTCATTTTTTCCCCAAAACTTAATGTTAAATTTTGAGCATGGACACTAAAATGAAATAAAAACTAAACTTCATGTACGATTGTAAAATAATTAAAAGTTTAGATATTAAAACTAATCAAAAATGATAGTTTAGGTATTAAACGAATAATTTACCCTTCAATTAAGTACGAAGGGCTACCTTGATTTTGTCATAAATGTGAAGCCAAAAACCATAGCCATTCGGACCAAGAGACGGCTTCAAGCTCTTTATGACCAGAGAGAACGATCTAAGCACCCTAGCTCTCCTTCCATGATCTTTCTTTGTTAGAATTTTGAACAAAGTGAAGACAAAGATTACCTCTTTCTCCATAGGCCAAACTGATTTAAACACTTCAAACGCGATATATTA